GACGTCGTACTGGAACCTGTGAAAAGAGCCAGAGAGGTACCTCGACAGATCCACTGAAGCAGTGAGATGCGGCACCGTTGCCGGCCCCTCGGCGAGCGAGACAGCCAGACTCATTCGCTGCTCTAGTGCTATGCTGGACTGGCGGTGGGCATGCATGTACGCCAAAGTTGTTTGTCAGCGGACGACGGAGCATCGCGAGTCTCGACATCTGGAGTTTTCAAATGTTCCATCTTCCACGGCGCACCGGGAAAGAGCCAGCTTGCCCAGCAACCCATGTCATGTCCAAACATCTTGCCGTGCCTTCCTCAGTTTACCCATAGAACCTTCCAAGGCATTCAATCAATCAGTTGTCGTACTGCATGCCTGCTGAACTGCTGGGTACCTAGGTACTCCGTAGATACTTGAAATATCCCTAGGCAGGGACCTTCCATCCATAATGCCCCTCCTTTCGAAGTACTGTCCCCTCCGAGACCCCACCTACCATGCCCAGGTACTCAGGTGCCTGTACTTGGGTTCCCCCGAGGTAAACAAATGACACCACCAGTGTCCCGCAAACCCCAAGGTTACACCTGCGCTTTTAGTTGGGGCCAGTTACTTTTTTTGTGGTCACCCACATGCTCAATCCATTTGCTGGTCGTATTCGGGTTCTTCCCCCCCCCCAAAATGCTGATCAGCCTTTGAGCGAATTGAAAACGCCATCATCAAAGGCTTCTCACAGGTTGATAGGCCAAGCGAACAACTGCTCGGCTTCTGTGTGACGTGGCTTCTGCAGTCTGCATCTACAACCTTCAGCCACTGTTTGCTTGCAGGCATCGGAGAAACACGCAGCCAGCCAGTTGTGATTCCCCGAGGAACCACCTACCGGCCAATCATACCTTCGACGGCATGTGTTTCTATAAGACGGAAAATAACTCGGAGGGAATCGGTGTTTGCCGACTGACTCCATTTTGCAGCAGGGCGGATGGATTGGCGTTCCAATGTCTCGTTCAGAGTCCTTTGGCGGCCTTGCTGGCGTAGCTTCACGTCTTGTACGAATGGCAGAATCGACGACAGAGATGGACCACGCCCGTCATTGCAAATCGCGCAATATTAAGCATAATATTCAATTACAATAACACGCCATACGCCAACGCTTGTCCTCTAGACATTCTCCGCCTCAGCCAATGATTTATCAGACTTGGACCTTGACGGGACTTGGTCCCTCGCCGTTATAGCTTCGATGGCCTCCTGACTGTCTAACCCGAATTCGCGTCCCTTGTGTTCTGGTCCGATAAAGATCGTGACCACCACCAAAGCAATAGCTGCGCCCAGAAATACACAGATGACAATGCCATAGTCATAGCGCTGTTGGCCAGATGAACCTGGCGGAAGAGGAAAATAGCGTTCCCCTATTTCAGACTGGATTGTTGCCGAGCCGCTTGACGCCAGCGTCCCAAGTTGGTACGCAGTGCCTACCACGATAGACCGGATTTCTGCTGGGGACAATTCCATCAAATGACTTGGAAGAACTCCAAATGCACCTTGTGTGGCAAACTGGACGAAGAAAGCAGCTACCGTCAGACCCGGTGTCTCAACTCTTGTGTACGGGTATAGTACTCCTGCAGCGACAGTTAAGGAGGCCATGATGGTTAGACGGCGCCCGAAAATCTCGGATAGATTGCCAACACAGATTGCACCGAGGAATCCTCCCATATTTGCTACTACTTGCGTGACTGTCAATTGATTCGGCGTAAGCTCAAACTCGGTAGCGAGCATTGTCGGGTACAGGTCTTGTGCGCCATGAGACTAGCCCAAATCTACAGTCAGTATAGCACATGGGACATGGGTAAAATGAGACGTCTTGAAAATACAACATACAACAAATGAGAACCCGCTCATCAAAATCACCATGTAGATGATGGAAAGCCAGTAGCCCCGGAGAGCAACCCAGGCCCTGTCCATAAAAGTAGGGGTGTTGTTCGGTAGAGTCTTGCGAATCATCTTACGGTCTCGAAAGGCTCTCGTCTCAGAGAGCCTCAATCTCCATAAGATGATGAAGACAGGCGGGCAGGCGCTGAACCAGAACAGCGGTCTCCATCCATATCTTGTCGTACCAACTAAAGCTCGATTCATTGCCGTAGCCAAGACATATCCCAGGGGATAGCCGGATTGAAACATGCCAGACAAGAATCCTCGCGCTGGGTTAGGGCAATCTTCCAGGGCCGTTGCTACGGAGTTGCCATAAATTCCTCCCATGGCAATTCCAAAAAAGGCTCTGCAGACCAGGAACTGATTATATGTTTTACAAAAGCCAGTTCCGAGCTCGAGGAGAATGAACATCAAGTTGTTGATGACAAACGGCCACCTGCGCCCGTAGCGATCGGATAAGAATCCAAAAAGAAACGAGCCCAGCGGCCTAAACATCAATGCCAAGGTGATGCCCCATGTCATGTCGGAGTCTTTCTTGTTGAACGCGGCCGCAAGTTGTGGCAATGTCAGACTGACGGTAAAGAAGTCGAAAGAATCCATAATCCAGCCACTCCAGGCACACTGCGTGTATTTAATGTTAACAAAATACTCAGGTAGGAATCCATATCCCCGAGACTCACCCCAAAGAAATTCCATTGCTCGCTGTTGAGCATGCGAAGAGCTTTTATAGGACTAACAACTCTATCCATAGGCGGCCGCAGGGTAGTTATCCGCGACAGAATATAATCGCAGCATGTCATGGCGCATGTGCGTTTCACTCCGTCACTTTGACCGGCCTCCATTGCTCTTTGGGTTGTTGTTTGTCTGATGCTTGAATGATCTGATAATCAGTGTAGCCTATTCTAAAAGACACAGTGGATAGATGACGGTGCCGTATAAACAAAAACAAAAGTTGGCAGGCGACCTGGATAAAATGGCATGGTAGGATTACAACTCCTCATATTTCAAGTCCATATCTATTAACGATATGTCAGATATGTGATGTGACTGCTCGGCAGTTTCACAGCCGAACGCTTGGTCCCTCGGTCCACAACCAATGTTTCCATGTTCCCGTCAGTGCGGTCTCCTTCAACTTTGAAGATGGCGATTCTCGAATGGCGTTTGGCACTAGCCGGTCCAAAGCTCAAAATCCTATTGGAGACACTCAATCTCTGCTACCATATTCTTGGAAGAAAGTTGGTTGGGGCTGCTGTGAGGATACGCCAAGTCGGATGGGGCGGCAAGGTCAAGTCACGACAAGATCGGACGGATCTGAGAACCGTGGTGTTTCTGCCAATCGGCACAAGCCTGCCGGTGGTATTGTTTCCAAAGTCTTGTTTCAACGCGGAAATGCTCGGTCGTTGTCGTTGCCACGTGGGGTGGTCGATAAGAGCTTGAGAATGTTCGGTGAGCATTGACCGGCCGCTGTGCTCCATGCTACCACCATTTCCCACTCGTCCAAGACGTCCTTTTCTTTGAAGTAATTGGCATCGACCGTGTTGAATCCCAGCGACTGCAGCACTCGGCGGCTTCTGCTGTTCCCCTTTTTGCGCCCCAGCAATACATCGCCGGGCACCCCTCTCCTCAATGGCCCATTGGATCACCGCTCTGGATGCCTCAAGAGCCAGTCCTTTGCCCCAGTGCTCGGGGCTCACACCATGACGCATCTCCAACACTTCTTGCCATGGTGGTAGGGGAGCCTCCCGTGCAGTCTCGGGCGCAGGAATAGCCAACCCCCTCGACGTCGTTCTGCCAACTTGGCTTGTCCCATCGGTCGAGCTCGATGACACGGATATCCTCTGGCGACTTCTTCAGCTTCCTCCCTTCGCCGGAGCTGAATAAAAGCTTTCCCGCTGACGTGGTCGGCAGCAGGCCGACTGCAAAGTCGCCCATGTTTCTCTTGTTCCAACGCCGGGATATATCCCTCGCCATGAGTACATTTCTGATCTCATCGTCGGTCTAGGCCCGGGCGGGGAATGAGTCTCCGAATCCCATGCCGCAGAATGGATGGTCTTCATGTAACCTCTTGAACAAGTCTCGGTATCCCTTGATGGACTCGGACATTGGTGTAGGCACAAAGATGAGCCTGTCGGTGACTAGCACGAGCGGTGTAAAGGACATGGTCGACGGCTGGGCTGTTGCAACGGAGACTCGACAGCAAGAAGCAAGAAACTCGTGGAATTGATGGTCAAATCAATTTCACTGGGGAACCCCGTGCCTTTCCATGGTGGGTAAAGCGCGGGAATTGGAATAAGTGTACGCGGTTCACGGGGTTCAACCAAGGTTTGACTCATCTAGGACCATGGTGGAGATTTGAGCTGACTGCGCTTCATCAAGACACTAACCAAGCATCCGTGGCGGTTGTATCTATCAAATATCACCGTCTGCGTGATGTGGTGACTCACTCACATAATGTCTCTTAATCAATCCAATCCGCCTCCTTGAGAACATCAACCGCAACATCCTTGACATCCCTTCCATCCGTGGGTATTCGCCGAGCCCGACTGCCCACCATCTCATCCAGCACACGGGACATTCTGGTGCTGCTAGACAAGCAATGGGCTAGCTCACTTCCCACTTCCCTCCCAGTCAGCCGCGCCATCGAAGTCTTGCCGGAGCCAGTCCGCCCGGAAACGATGAGAAGTTGAATATTCGTGTCAGCGATGTTACCAAGACCCGGCTCATAGTTGGCTCGAGCCAGGGGAGCAGAGTCTTATACGCTACCCGCGTCGTCCACGGCCGCAGATATCGATGAGTCACAAGTACAAACACGCTCCATCAAGCGTAGGCACATCAAATATGTTGGACAAATTTTGGAGTTTGGAAATTCTGCCCATGATGAGCATAGTATTGGTTCGAGAAGTTGAGCCTATATACAACCAAGAACAATACAAAAATCAAAAGCAAACACCTGCTGGCCAACTCCGGGATATTGCTTTATCCGTAACCTTCTAAAAATAAGACATGAGGAAGCAACTACGTTTCTTCCTCTCTTTCCCATACACACACATACACACATACACAATCTACCCCCAAATAGTAATGCACCTACATTAGTTTTCCACACCGGGAGCCGTCAGAGCCAGCGGAGGCGCCCCCCGTAACCTCCTCCACCGGTTGCTGTTGTCGACAATGTCCCGATCAAACAGGAACCACCAGCGCTGAAACAAGACCTGGCCGACCTCCCAGCAGCTGGGGTCGTAAGGGTCGGAGCCGTAGATGCGCACGCCCTCGGCATTGTCCTCAAAGTCGTAGGCGAAGTTGACGAGGGCGAGCGGGCCAGAGGCGGTGGGCGGGCGGGCGTCGTCGGGGAGCGAGAGGATGCCGATGATTTTGTCCCTGGCGCTGGGCCAAGGCAGGAAGTCGAAAAGCGGGTGGTGCGGGATCAGAACTTGTGAGGGAGTTGGACGCCATGGCCGGGGAAGTTGATCTGACGGTGTCGCGATTCCCTGATTAAAGGGCGACAGAGCATCCAGCCTCCAAAGTGAGCCCTTGCATCCAAGCCGGTCCGCTATACGCAGCATCGCACGCAGAAGTGTCAGTTCATGGACGGGTAAAAGGTAGCTGTCGGGGAAGCTGACATCGGACGATGGGTTTGATGAGCTATCTAGGGATGGCGGTGGTGAACCAAACATTACATTGGACATCATGGCGGGCGGAGAGACTGAGCCCGACGAGGAGGCCGCCGTGAGGATGCCATCGCCACCTCCACCTCCACCACCACCTCCTCCTCCTCCTTTTGACTCGTCATCGACGGCCGTAGTCGTGGCCGTGGCCGTGAGGAAATCTGGAAACAAGCCAGTTACATCGGGCATCATGGACGAGAGAGTCGGGTCGGTCAGCATGTCCCAGTTGGTGAAGCACATGTCGACGCCGAAGATAGATCCGGGGCTCTGAATGACGCCGGTGTCGACGGGCTCTATAGTGTCGACGGGCATCTCCTTGACCGACTGGGCGTGTTCATCTTCGGCTTCTTGTGAGGTACTTTTTGAGTCGTTGCTCCCTCTCATACGCTTCTGTCTCTTCTTTTCTCCTAAACGAAACACAAAACAACACCAAGAGATGAATATACATTCTTTTACAAGACGCGGGGGTGGGTTTCAGACACGTACGGTATCTCCGCTGCGCCAGCACATTCAATATCCGTTTTCTCTCTGCCGCGTCCTCCTCGATATCCGGCACCTCCAACGGCGGCGGAGGCTTATATACCCTCTGTCTTGTGCGTGGCCTCGAGCCAGAGCCCGAGCTATTCGGCTTGCCGCCCATATTCACCTCAACACGCTCGCTCAACAGCTTCCAGACGATGGGGGAAGAAGAGTCAAAATACGCCTTCTTTCCAAACCCGGTCAAAGGCGTGGGTTTCTTTCAAAAACCAGATGGTCCTCTTTTATACCATTACCACTTGCGACATGGAAATGAAGCTCTTTCGGGGAGAAAATGGGACAACCCTCCAGTCTTATAAATGCGCGTTTGAAAATGACAAAATAGACAATTCCATCCACTAATTGTCTCGAGCGAGAGCCGCAAACCGATCCACTTGGACAATCTTCATGTGCCAAACAAGACCCCTTCCACCGAGTCCGGCAACCATAACGCTCCAAGTGGAGATGACGCTTGATACAACTCGTCCAAGCCTTACGGATAACAAGCTACCTCGAGCACTAGCTGGATAACCCCAGTGGACCAAAGTCTCTGCTATCAAGGGAGAACCTGGCTGCCCCTCGGGGTGATGTATCGGGTAATCAGTGCGACTCGAACGAGGAGCGGCTGAAGGTTTAGGGAGGGGGATGTGACGGGACCCCCTGGCTGTTCACGACTGCACATGGCTGCGCCCTACGAGGCTGGTCTAAGCGTGAATGATGCTCTGGATTCGTCGTATAATGCGCGAGTGATGGTGGGCTCAGGGTACGTGGCGGTTTGGCGGGCGAACGGCCTGGGACGACCTAGGCACCGGCTTTTGGGGCGCATTGCGTCAGACGGACTTGATCACGATCAGGCTTCCGGCGCGTAAGTGGAGCGATTGGGCGTTGCGAAGGAGGGATGGTGTTGTGCCACTGTTGTCACGTCCAGTGTTGTGGCGTTGATTGGATTGTCGCTGATGCAGCAAGATATACTTCCGAGTCTCTTGTGGCTCTTCTTGACGTCTTCTGAGCAGAAAGGAGTCTGGGGATTAGATGGTTGGATAGACGGGCCATGGAGCTCTAATCATGGACGAGAACAACACCAGTCGTCAACTCGTCTTGCCTGACTGACGATTCCCATGTTCAACGTCGAGTCCGGAGTACTCCAATATGTTGGCACGGAGCCGTTTCTTTGGGGGAGCTCTAGCGCTGTTCCACTTGGCTGTCTTGACGCTGGTTCTATTTTTGAGTTGCCAGCCCCGTTGATCAACTCCCACTACTCCGTATAATTGCCGGAATCATATGTGACGCAGTCCCCCATTTCGACAAGCACATGGCATGGTCCTAGTCAGTTCAGCTTCCCCCCCGGGAACGCTACCCGTCCCTCCTCGGCTCGCACTCGTTTTTCGAGCCTTTAGCCCGTCACCCTCCAAGAGCCTGACCAAGCCTCAGCCCTATATTCACAACCTGGCACGATAAAAGGGTAACCAGTGCGGGGGCGCCAGACAACCAAGCCTCTGCCAAAGTTGGTGGAGACAGCACTCGGAGAAGTTGGTGAAGAAGACCAAGTAATTCCATCATCTGGAACTGGTGGCTTTGTTGGAAGGCCCTGTCAACGGCCCTGCATGCTCTACCCCTGTGTTCGGCCTAGTTGACCTTGTTGACGACAACAGATGGAGCCACCGCGGTGCTTTGACAAGGGAGACTTTCTGACTCGTCCAGCCGCGCCTGGGGTCAGCTCTCTGGTGGCATCGTCGGTTTCGTCGGTTCCGCGATTGACCACTCCTCATTGCCCGCCGTCACCCAGGACCGCGTCTCCACCCAGCACGTACATACATACATTCACCGCCATTGACTTGTGCTCGTGGCTGTTCCATTCCCATTTTGTATTAACATGGTCTCGCCTACGGCGGCCGTCGCAGCAGAGCACCAAGCCCCCTTGACCAGAAAGAGTGTCGTCACTAGTTATTTCGTGCCAGGAATCAAGGAGCCTTTTAGATGTGAAATTGTCTTGCCTGAGAGAGTCGCTCGGGTAGCTCAGCTTTGGCGCCAGAACCGTGGCGTAGAGTTCTTTATGGGGCATTGCATTGGCATCATACACGAAGAAGAAGCGGTAGTCGCTCGATCGAGGGCGCAGTGGTGTGCTATCTGTATTTGTTCCCGTGGTTTCGGCAGCCCGGCGATGATCTTGAGTCTGCCTTGTGACGCATTGCAATGAGTGGGCGAGGGCTAGTTGAGACCATCTCTGTTCTAAAAATGGCCGTGAGCATACATAGTAGACAGACGATGGGATCCCAGTCGAACTTTGGCCCGTTCCTGCCAGTTTCTGGTCTTTTCCTATCACCAGTCCAAACTAGGAAGGTGGCCCTGTCACCACGGCCATTCTATTCTTGATTTGCAAAATGCTTGATTTACTTTTGATTTTTTTTTTAAAATAATTTAATATATATATATATACAGGCTCTAGGTCTCTCCGCTTTTCCTATCGCTAGGGCAACTTGCTCGTTGACATCAGGGTCTTGTACACCACGAGTACACGCGGTCGCGATGCGTAGGTAAATACATATAATAATATTATAAGGCACATATACAGAGATTATTTTTTTTATTTTTGGAGCTTCCTGCCGATCGTGCCAAAGCCGCTGTTGAAGCTTATCGCGGCCCTCGTCAACGCGCTCAAAAAAGGGCTCAATTCAATGATTCAATATTGATGATGCGCTACGCATCGCGTGCCACAGCTAAAGGAGCCTCGCGGCGGTCATCCTACTCCTTTAGCTGGCGCTCACTGCGTTCACTGCGAACTGGCTTGCAGAGACTCAAGTAGTAAGCGTCTTGTGACGTAAAAGGGACTCCGCAAGCCAGTCCGCAGTCAAAGAGATCAAGTGAGCTCCGTCATCAACCAACGTCAGGTCAAAATGAGGGCATCCACAGCCAAAACGGCAGGCACCATCTGCAATACCAACTTGGCAGACTTCTTCCCAGCAACCAGCGTCCGCTTTCGTCCCAACATTGTCCTTTCATGAAATAACACTTGACCAGTACCAACCATTATGGCGGATTCAACGCATACTCTTACTCCCCCCCCTCAGTGTGATGCTTGGATTTCTCGCAGGGCATCTCATATTAGGAGTGCCTCGTCGGCATACCCGTCGTCACACAATACGTCGCGGATGCAGTCCCCAGTCTCAGAGTACTGCCGCGGCAATAGACTCAGCCTCTCTGGCCTTTCACGCTTTGGGCGAACAAATGATTGCTTGTCGAATCTCCGATCGAGTTCGCCTTCGTCTAATCAGCAAGCCGTCGGCGACACCAGCAATCAGGAACTCATGGCAGACGCGGCCGCAGCCATCACGGAGTGGCAGGGCATATCTCGGCCCGTCAAGTCGGCCACGTATAACAACTATTCTCTGGCGGATAGCTCTGACCTGTTCCCGTCCGATTCTTTGTCCCAGAGGGGGGACTTTTCTCTGTCCCCGTCCAGCCCCCCGTCGCAGCAATCCGCCCGTGGTCCGGCCCAACATGCCCAAGATTATTTCAAACCCCTGGACTCTCAGTATGATGGCACCGTGGACGCGGATCGGAATAGAAGCCCAGAGCCCAAAGACGGTCTTACTTTTACCGCCACCCAGACCTTCCATCGGTCCAAGCGAAAGGTATCGCAGTTGTCTCTTCGCAGCCTGACCAGGTCCTTGTCGAAACGCCCCCGTCTTATGGCTTTCCGTCAATGGGCGGCCAATGTGTACCACGATAGTAGTCGTCGCCTTAGTGGAGCATATCATCGCCTCAAGTACCAGCGAAAAGCTTTGTTTCACGCCAAATAATTCACAATGGGAATAGGGTTAGACGCATGATTCGAGAAGGAGCTTTTAGAAATTAGAGAAGAGGTACCAAGGGACAAATATAAGAATTCCATGCTTCTTTCAAACCCTCCGAGTGCAAATTTGGCCGTTGTTGTATTTGCGTTTTACAACATGTACCTGAAGAAGTGAGCTGGCTCTGGTTTTCGTTTCCCAGAGGCAACAAGCCCTTCCTCCTCCACGGTATACTCATCGTGCTCGCGGTCCACCTCTTTCTGGTCCATCTTCCTGTTCCTGTACTGCAAATACCACCTCAAAATAACAGCCAAGGCGGCAACGGCCAACATTGCCAAAGCACAGGCACCCATGCCGCTCGTATAGTACGGTGCGTCCCTATCCGGATACAGCCTCGTACCCACCAACGGACCACACTGCCCTATGAACTGCAGGACGGCAAAGCCGCCGCCTTGTCTCGTCTGGCTGGCCTGGTTGTTTATGCTCCACGCTATAATGAGCGTGACGACGTTGAAGAAGCCCACCGTGGCGGGGTACACGGCCACGTACCTCAGGAACGGAGGCAAATGGAGCGGCTCGGCCAGGGCCAGGGCCCCGTAGCCCGCGGCCGAGGCCAAGGCATGCAGGACAATGGGTATGGTGCGCGCCTGGAGGCGGTCCGACATGTGGGCCGTGAACAAGACGACGACAAAGGCGATGAGGTAGGGCGGCGCCGAGAGCGCCTGCGAGGTCAGTGCGTCGTGGCCCATTTCCGTCATGATCTTGGGCAGGAAGACGGGCAGGGAGGAGTAGGCCATGTTTGTGAGGAAGAACATGGCCGACGTGAGCCAGGCGACGGGGTCTGCGAAGACGAGCAGCAGGTCGCGGGGTCGGAGGCCGGAGGCGGGCTTGTGAGACTGGTGCGAGGGGTGGTGGTCGCGGCGGAGGCGCAGGCGGGCGACTTTCTTCTCGCGCTGCGTGAGATACGGCGCCGACGAGGGCGAGTCCGGGATCGTGGTGAATGCGGCGACGGCGGCGAGAACCGACGGCAGGCCCTCGAGGAGGAAGAGGAGACGCCAGGGGGCAATGGGCGATAGGGACGCGAACTTGACGATGATGTAGGCTAGCGTTGAGGCGAAGCTTGTTGCGAGAGGGGCGGCTTTTTTTTTTTGTGTGTGTTTGTCAGTTGTTGTGGTTTTGGAGAGCAAGGCTTCATTCTCTGTGTGTGTGGGTTGGCGTACCTGATATGAACATGGCTGTTCGAAAGGCCAGTTCCTCTCGTTTGAAGAAGAAGCTCAGATAGAAGGGGATTCCTGTGAACCCTGCTTCCCCGATGCCGAGGAGCAACCTCAGGGCGATCAGCACTGGATACGAAGGCGCAATTGCTTGCAGCGACGCCGTGAGGCCCCATGACAGGACGGTCATGGACACAACTACGTGGGCGGGCACGAGCTTGAACAGCAACGCCATCCACTCGAAGGCAATGTACGAGATGTAAAACGCCGTCAGGGCCCATTCATACCAGTCGTCTCGGGGCGGCGTCGTCTGCAAGTCCTCGTCCATGCCGGCTATCCTTGCATTGCCGATGTCTACATGGCGTCAGCTCCTGTACAAGAATTGGGTCAGGCAGGGCGACGTACTCGACCGATCCAGAAAGCTCAGCAGGAAGAGAAAGGCCACAAACAGCACCAGCTTCCTGTCAAACTTCCTCCGCACCGCCAGGTCCTCGTCGGGCGTGTACAGCTGGAAACTGGCGACTGTGCTCGCGCTCCTCGCACTCATGCGTCTGTGCCCGCCATGCCGCTCGACCATTTCGTAGGCCTCGACGCCGCCTCCGGCCTCATGGCGCAGGTCGAACTCGTCGATGACGGCCTCGTCGTCGCTGTCGTCGAGCCTGGATTCGGCGCCGGTCTGTGCAAAGGACGGGGACGCCTCGCCCGGGTTCCAGGGGCTGCGGCGGCCGGTGTGGGCCATGGGATGTTTGCTTGCTGGGTGTTTGTTTCGTGTTTCGACAATGTCGGGGCACACCAAGGCCCCGTCCCCTCGGGAGGTGTGACGGCTTCAATGGAGCTGGCCGGGGCGGCCGCCATGCGCACTGCTTGCGATTGTGCGTTGGGGGATGCCGCGGTGAGCCTTACATGAGTGTGGATTTTTGGGCGTAGGACGTTGGACGTTGGCTAGGACGAGATACGACATGCGACATGAGGCTGGATGCCGGTTGGGACCTCCACACGTGATGGCGACGTCATTCGGCCGCGCAGCAGATAAAGGCAAACACGGCGAATGATTAGGAATCAGGGCTGTATATCCAGCCAAGTGTTATGAGATAAATGCTAATGCCTGCCTATGCCATATACAGACGCCCGTGTCGACGCGGCGCATCTTGGTTTCCCAAGTGCAGTGCCGAGTGAGTCTCTGACAATATATATTTATATGCGACCAAGTTCACTGGTACATGACGTCGCTTCAGAGGACCTTGGGGAAACTATTCTTCTTTAAAAATTTTTTTGATTTCTATGTACGAATAATCCCACATTCGCTAACGCTTCAAGTAGATTGCTTTTCACAGCACGAAATGCCCTGTTACAGCGTGTCACTTTGGAAAACTTGATGGCCAACGCCGTCTAATCCCTCCTTACGCCTCGTTCCCACAAAGTTCGTATCGCGTCTTCATCATGGCCCTCATCAATAGGAAACGTTTATCCGCGCCCGGCTACGGATCCTTCTTGGAAAAAAGTCGTCGTATGGATAGCTTCTTCTTCAATCGCGGGGTTGGCGGCAGCTCTTTCTTGAAGGGATCCTGGCCAAGGAAGGTGGGCTGCGTTGGTACGTCCGGTCTGCTCCCCAACGAGTCTCCCCCAGCGTCGCCCGAGTCCAGTCGATCGCCTGCCATGGACGACGTACCTGTCCTTGATATCACACCTGGCCGCGGTTGTGGTTGTGGTTGAGGTTGAGGTTGTCGAGCTGCTTCCATCTCGGGCAATTCTCCACCCCCGCCGTCGTAGTAGCTTTCTGGTGCCTCCCGATCTGTGTCGTCACAAACAACCACATACCACCGTGATTGCTCTTCCGCTTGGACTTGGGCACGTAGCTGTTCAAACCACTGCGACTGGGTTTGCTTGACCGTATCCTCGTACCTTGCCATTTCTGCCACAATGTCTACCCCGAGATCCACACGGACGACATGATCGGCCACGTATGCGTATGGCCTCGCAGCATGTTCCGCTTCGTCTACATGGTATTCCTCCAAGAGTTTTACTGGTGACCATTCATGTACGAGCACGCTGTCCTCGCCGGCAGGCACCTTGGATACAGGCATGGCCAAATCATCGTCGTAAGACTGTGGCTGCTTCTCTCGTGTGGGCGTCGTCTCGTTGGACCCGGGTCGCGTGACGGTGCCGTCTTCGTTTTCCAGCCTTGGTACAAAGTCAAACGACTCGGCGAATTGGCTGAGAATTAAGGCGGCCGTGTCTCGCCCGATGATCCAGTCTGGCGTGCAGTCTTCGAGGTCGTTGAGGATGATAAAGATACGGATGCTGCGGCGGTACCACCGGAATCCATGGCACAAGTATGTAGGCATGGTCCCTGCCGAGCCAGGCAGTGATGCAGTGATGCTCCTGGTCAAATGTTACTCGAGCTCGCCCTGGGCCGCAGGCAGGTGGAGGGGTCGACTGGTCGACTGGTCGGTTGGTGGGATAAGAATGAAATCTCCCGGTGCCTGAGTTAGCGGCGACGGCAGGACACTCAGGCGTCTGGAGAAGGCGCTGGCGAAGATTTGAGGTCAGATGCAAGGAGAGCACTTGAGCCCTGTTGGAGAGGCTGTCGAGGGACATTGGCAAGCCGGCACATTGTACGGAGGAAGCGTCGACATTTTGGAGTCGAGAATCTGTATGTACTTGTGCTGTCAAGGCTGGCGCACCGAGCACTGGCTGGTATTCCCGCTTGCCACCGAAGCTGGGCAGTTGGGGCAAGAGCTGTCGAAATCCCCACCTGCCGACTTCGTACTACACCGCGCAAGCAGGCCAGGCTACTTCTCGTTTGTCTAGGTACCTGGCCTGAACCTGGCAAGTGTGCGCGCCTGTTTGATTGTTTGTGGGCAGGAGCTCGGCGACATTCATGCCGCCATCAACATTGAATTGATGCGACAAACTCTTTCCCTGTCAACTGGCCCAGGTGTGGGCCAATGGGACATTTGTGTTCTGTATACTGTATGCACTCGTAACTCCGTACTCGACAAATCGATCTTGGCATCTTGACCTGGTTGTCATGTTCCAAGTCAACAAACAACAAGGCACCCACCACTGACGCAGTGGACACATCCAGCATCTAGTTCATCGTTGATCCGGCGGCTCGGCACGCAACCCCAAGCAACCTTCCTGCCCTTGTCGGCCTTAGCGGGACCGCGGCGTCGCCACCAAGTTGGACGGCCGATTCAACTAACGATCCGAGTACTAACTACTTGCTGCGACCAGACGTCTGGTCAAATCGGCGGGGAGTGCGTGGTGCGTGGATCGAGGCTGGCAAGCACTTGGTTGGTTGGGCGACATCCATGTTGGACATTGCATGTGTCCAAGTATTAGTCCAAGTAATGGTGAACTCCAGACGTCCCATGCAACTTTAATTGCGCCAATGAGCACAATTCATCCGTCATGCCAGGCCTGCAGCAGCAAGTGGGTGCAACTCGGACAGCGAGTCGAACCGAACCACGGCTTTCGGACAACACAAGCTACATACGCTCACACAAAGCCAACTATACAATACTACTGGCTAACTACTAGGTAGGTATGTAAAGTAAAAGCCAAGTTTGTGCGCATAAATACAAAACGCCTTTGCCACCATGACGTATCCAAAACAATGCTTTTAGTCGGGCTGCCCTAATGTGTTGAGTATGCGCCCTTCCTATTCCCCCTTTCCCCCATGCCACACAGTATTACATCGTCAATTCCACTTACAGGCTTCCCCCTTTCAACTTTAGCATGATTATTCCAACTTGGCCGTCTATTCGTAGACAGATGGTTCCTGGAAGAGGCTCACCCCACCCGACTCTTCATCCTGTCCTTGTAAACTCGTCTCCAACGTATTGACATCAAAATTAAAGTCCATCTCCTTTAATATGTCGCCCAGCTCTGCGTCCGTAATATTCATATCCATATTCATCGGCAGCAAGGAAGGCTGCTGGCTCGTCTGGTCATCGTCGGCGGGCAGAGCATGTGCCAGTTGACCCTTCATCCAAGCTTTGAACTTCTCTAGCAGGACAGGGTCATCAGCCGCTGTCTCTGTTGCGTTAACAATATCCTTTGCACGCATCTGCATGGCTGCATCCGTAGGTAGACGCCCGGTATCTGTGACGTTCTTCTTGACAAACTGCACTAGACCAGCTTCCAACTCACGAGAGCAAAATACATTTGCCGGGCGGCTATTTTCGGATAGCAGCGTTTCCAAAAAGTGGTTTGCGGCGTCATGTCCAGCCTTAAATAGCTTGGCGCCGTCGCGCATGTTGACTTCAACGTCCTGAAGGAACGGTTCGACGTTGCCCTTCGGATAGGCATATGGCGGTGCAAACCCCGATCCGCCTTGCGATAGTGACCACGAGTAGCCTTTTGGTAGACCTGGACCTGGATCCTTAGCAATGCCAACATCACGCTTGAATCGCTGAAGCCATTCAGCATTGTCTGCGGCGGTCTGGTTCCAAGGATCATCACTGTCGTGTGTTAGTTACCAGTTCGCTAGAGGTGATAGGGTGCGCTCATGTGGACTTACTCATCATAGAGAATCCACCGTGCTTGATATTGCAGCTCCTCGTCAGTCGGGGTGTGCCGACTGGGGTTGTTGGGAGACATGGTCGACTTAACCCAACGTCTCAGTTCCTTGGCTAGACGCCGGTAGCAATTGGCATCATTCAGAAAGAAGGGCATGGCCCTGCCGTTCCTATCAATCGAAAGCAGATGTTGAAAGTCATTTTGGGCCAAATGCTTTGGGGGCTCCTCGGCGGATTTGGGTGATTTGTGACACGACGTTGGACCTGTACTAGCTACAGTGGTTGTGGCAGGGTAAGAGTCTGTCGTCGTGGTAGGCGCGTTATCGGGAGAACCCCCTTCAGGGTGTCGATTTCTGAATGATTCGAGCCACTGAATACTGTCGGCAGCTGTTTGATTCCATCCATCATCGAACTCGTAGATGATAATACGAGCTTGTCGTTGCAGGTCCTCATCCGTTGGCTCATGTCCAATAGACCGCTGCTGCCTGAGGTAATCTGCCAGCTCACGTTCCAAGCGAGAGTGGCTGTGGATAGTCGAGTCGATAGATCTCGGGTCTTTGGACCGGACGGTTTGGTGCTGGACGTCTTCACTTCGTGGCAAATTCGCCCGACGTCTAAACGGTTCCAGCCATTCAGTCGACGAGGTGATCAAGCGTAGGAGCCAATTGGCAACCGTCTCAGACGGATGGGTGCACACTTCCTCCACCCTACCGACAATCTTACATGCTTCTTCCTGCAGCTCGTCGTCCATGGCTGTCAGCCCCAACAGCCGCTTCGCAGTGACAAAGGAGTGCAGCTGTCGTTCCATGGGACATTCCTCGAATAAGTTGTCCTTGCCATTAATCTTCAAGGAAGCAAGTCTGCTTTCAGCGGCTCCACGTAACGGACCAAACCTTGCCTTCTGTGCGATGTCCGCGTTGGACATGATGAGATCGCGAAACCACGAATTTTGTGTCGCAATACCTTGCAAGGACAACAATTCCGAGGCGAAAATGATACGGCATCCTTCCAGCCGCATGTCGTCGTCGCTCGGTGCTCCGTGGTGTTGCTCCCAGTGGTTGGCGCCGAAGTAGGCCAGTTCCAGTTTGATCAGCTCGTAGGCGTTGCGCGGCGATTCTGGCGGGGAGTGAGAAGCTACGTATGGCAGGGGAGATACGCGTTCATGGTGAATAAGATCTATTTCTTAAAAGTTAGACACCGGCAACTGGTCTATGGGATACTGCAAAGGCCTCATACACGGGGGAATAGAGTTCTCAACCATATCAAGAACAGGCACATCGAAACCCCAGTCACCCTTCCAATCAGCCATGGAGTAACCTGTCTTGAAGTGTTCCGCCAAGTGGTCAACTCGGATGGTCCATGTATCCATCACGATGCCGCAGAAACCGCACCGAGACCGAATCTCTGGTGTTGCCACCTTCCATTGCTTCATAGCCCAGTCCATAAACTTAACGTTGTGTACCAACCGCAAATGTTGGTTCAGGTGATCTTTGCGGTAGAATGTTCGTTCTTCAAGAGTTCGCTCTTGGCATGCTGAGTGGTTGTGAGCTTCGATATGGCCATCATCTGGATTTTCGAACCCACAGAAGACGCAGGAAAGAATGCCAGAGTCCGGATTGACTGCACGAGGGCCATCCGGGGCGCATACCCAGCGCTCCAACGACAAGTGCAGAGACTTCTCATGCCGTTGCCAGTCATGTTTTGTTCTGAATGTTTCGGTACAGAAAGTGCACTGGAAGGTCTTGAGGGGAACTGCCAGACCATTTGTACCGTCATTGGTAGTCTTGGGGGCTGCACGCCTGCGCCGCCTCCGGCGTCCACGGGTACTGAATGGGGCCGAACCAAAGGATCCCCAAGAGTTGCGTGACCCATGAGAGTATGCAGATCCTCGAGATCCATTGCTGGAATGAGATGTACCCAAACTGCTAGTCGATGACTGGTTGCAAAGCGATCTGCTTGAGCCGTCATCGGTATAGTTGAAGCTATAGGGACTGTTGAGACCCGACGACAAGGCCGACGACGAAGAAGCCGTGACAGCCCTTGCAATGGCGGTCACTGACGCTGGTTCGTGTTCAGGAGGCGAATGCTCCCAACGCTGTAAAGGATTCATAGCCTCCAGTGCCGGCGTCCCCCGTCTTTGAGGGATGTCGATAGATGCCGCCCAGTTGCCAACATGGGGCGAGGTTGAACGAGGCGGTTGCACCTTGCCTCTTCGCCGGGCATTGGCCAGCCAGTTGGTGATCTGAGTCTTATTCAAGCCCGTCTGACGTTGCAATGCTTCCTTCTCCTCATCGCTGGGGTATGGATGTCGATTATGAGTAGACAGCCAATTCTTCAAGATCCTCACAGATTCCCTAGAGAACCGAGCCCCAATCTTGGGAGGTGGCCCTGGTCTAGGAGCCCCGGAATTACCACTCTCATCGGCCGGTGTAGCCGACCTGTTGAGGAAGTCCAATGTTGACGAGGGAAGTGAGTTGGGTTGTGTCACATCTGGGAAGAGCTCTTGGTTCGCGATGGTATTCGGATGATTGCCCATGATGGGCCACGGATTAGCCGGGAAGACGCTTATTGGAGCGTCGATGTCGACTGCATCAGACATGGCTCCTCCGAAGCTACAATCAACCCGGAGAGCAACACAGCTCGTACAGTAACCCTTGTAACGACCTTCCTGGATCTTTTTGCAGGAAAAGCCTCCCGAAGCACAGTGTGCACACGGGTTTGTAACGTGCTCGGCAAGGTCTAACGCAGGTGTGCCGTCCATGGGCAGGTCAGCTCCAAGAGGATTGGGGTTTTGTGAAAAGTGCTGCAAGGCATGGAAGCTAAAGTCATCTTCGTTCACATTAGCCAAGACGAGGCCAATGTTTTCTGTATGCAGGCCGTCGTCCATGCCAGCAAGGGTTGCTTCTTTAGAGAAGCTTTCTGTGCCCACACAAGCACCAGCCTTGTCCCAATTGACGAACTCGTCCATCTCGTCAACGAAAGCCATGTTGTGTCACAAATGTCGAGGAATAAGGGAGACTAAAAGCAGCAACCAGAGAAGGGCGCGCAATACCGGATGCTTCCTTCAAGGAACCGGGGGATGTCCCATTCGTCAAGGTAAAACGAGGCCCTAAGTGGAAGGGCGCACAGGAACTGGGATGTGGCTCAAATAGGGATGCCGGCTGGAGGTTGAGGGCGGCAAACGTGATTGCCGCCGTGTAATTGTAGAATAATAAAGCCGTCAACGGCCCAGGTGGTTGAAAAAAAAGACAATGCTCAAGCGGTGGCTTCTGATGATGATGCCAGCCAACAAACCCGTCGTTCCAATGTAGATCAGGAAGGACATTCGTTTTCAATGAGCGATGAGTTTGATGAGAATGTAGCAAGAAGGAGGGAATGATAAGATGGATGGGGCCTGCCTCAGTTTTGTTCAACAGGTGGACAGTACAGATTAGGAAGGATGGACCATGGAATTCTGTGAAGGCCGGCAGGTGCAACTCCGTCTACGTACATGGGCTGAGGAAGGCGCCGAAAAGTGGAGATAAAAAGATAGCGCTCTCAACTCCCGTCTCGAAAGAATCGGTCTACGGTTAAAATGTTTCTAGCACACTGGGGGAAGCGAAGAAAAGAGTCATGAGATGCTGCCGAGCATCGGTCGACAACTCGACACATGCAGCCAGGTTGGTGCTCGTGGGGCCAAGGCGCTGGTCCTCGACACTGGCGCAGGCGGCTATCGCAGGGATATGAACTCGCGGAACCCCCTTGGATTGGCCAACCCGGTCAACATGTCAATTGTGCGCCCTTCTCTTGACAGTCGTTGCGTCGTATTTCCCCACATGTTGTCTTCGTTGAGTTCCGCGTTGCCTCCTTCACACCAGCAGCAAAAAGCACCACGCCGCACGCCATCAGCATCTCCATCGCGGATATGACTCCACGCTGAATAAAAGGATTAGTTGAAAGCTTCACACCCATTCGTGTGGCATGCGGACGCAGCGGCTCCAGTGACTCAGTTTCCTCCGTAAGATGCAGCCTGGTTCCCTGGATTTGGTACCGAACTTGGGACTTATAATAGTCTTCTTCTTTACGACAAACAGAATATCGGATTGACCTCGACTCAACAGAATCATGATTCGATATTTCGACAGCTAACATTATATTCATACGAGAGTGGCATTACAGGCACGTGCATTCTGCAGAGACGCCTCCTATCTACACGTAGCGAGCCCAACCACAATGTTTAGTGTCATTGTACTCTCTCGAAGGCATACGAAGTCAATCTTTATCAAAACACGTCAGGATAAGTCTGCCATGGCTCTGGGGACATGCTCCGTGCATGCTCCGGTTATCATCTCACCACCGCTTTACTCTAGTCGCACGTATCACAGGCAGATCGCCATCACTGTCACCCTAAGCTGTCACGGTGTATTCTTGCCCCGAGACCGGCCCGCCATAGACTGTAGCGTACTGTGCTCGGTGGCTTCTACTCCGTACGTGGAGTAGCTTCGGGGCTCGGTGCTCGGCGCTGGAGACCAAACTTCTACGCACATTGCCTGTTCTCGAACTACTCCGTGCTCATTGCCGCATTCCGTTCCCCGTAGTTATTAACTCCCGTCATGAAATTCGACCCGGTTCTACCAGGAATCTTAGATGCATCCAGCCTCGCCTTCTTCCATGTATACTCCGCGATAGTATACAAACCAAGGTTCCTTCAACTTTCAGTCAAGGCCAGGGCAAACACCGGCCAGAATTAGTTTATGCTTCATGACTGCTGGCGCCCTGGCTAACGCCATTCCTGAACAGACAGCTCTGGAAGGTTCCATGGGTCAGCGTTGTACTAAGTTGGCGGCGGCTAACAACAAAGACTTGGGGCTGCTCAAGACAAGAGGGGACTGACTATAATTGTCAAAGCATATTCACTAATACAACCACGAACTTTGTCGTCAGGTTAGGCTCCGAGTCACCACCGCCGGATCGGGAGTTTGGTCTTGCGCTGAGGCTAGTGAGACATATGTACACAGTAGTGGACACTGCAGTTTCAGTCACACGTGTACCAGCAGAACAATTCATACTCCACACGAAGTAGTGTGGATGTGTTTTGTCGCTGTTCTGCATGACAAACTTGTGGTTCCTTCGTCACGGATGCGCCTCCGATCATGGCGCCGGAGACGCGGGACAAGTCCCTGAAAGTCGGTAGGTTAAACATTTCCAAGTGACCACTTCTCCGAAGTACATACATCGACTATCAAATTCGAACCACATTCAGCTGTCGATAAAGCAAAATCCGTTCGTCAGCAACACTTCCACAAGCACCAGTTATGATTAATAGAATGTTGGATGTGCCGCTGCAACTTGCAAAATGTAATCAGGTACGTGATGCCAACAACCATCGCAAATCATCATCGACGCCAGCCATCCGTGCATTCCTTCTGACCATTGCCATGGTTGTGTCCAGTAGCACAAACGGTAGCAAACCTTATGTGCGTTCTGGCCAAAACTTGAATCGTCCACCATTCAGCTCCCCCACTTCCCGCCTCATGCAGCCACAGCGTTGGTCGCATCATTATTATTCAACCCTGGCCGAACAGGCAGCCAGAACGTTACCATATTTGGATACTCCCATGTAATCGGTAATCGATACCTAGGTGGTTACGGATCCTGTTATACATATAAACTGAAGATGATTGATTATAAAGCAAACTCCATGTGGCGGACCATCGGAACGCCATTAACGTAACCCACAAAGAACTACATTGCAATGCGACTTATGCACATTGACCAGTACCACACCACCACGGTGAATCGACATTCCAGGCAAGACCCTACCCATCACTTACAGCAGTTACTTCACCATCAAACAGCTACATTGGTGTGGCCTCAGCCGTGAGAGTGTTCGAGTCGAGATAGTGGAAGGGAAAGATCATTCCACTCCTCACTCATAGAATACAGCGTGCCAAAATGGAGTGTATCATTATAGTCGTACTGTTCATTGTGGCAGCTTATGCCCAACTGTAGACAAAAACACCAAAATCACCATAGAACAAATTAGCGCCAAGTAGGACTGTGGCAAACGGGAACAATATTACTGGGCTATCCAAGCAATATCTATTCGATTACACTGCTCGATCGTCCACGACCTTGCCCCGTGAGAGGCCCGTTGTGCCGCACCCAATGCAATGCAAAAACAAACAAAACAAACATCGGGCATTGATTCATGTTAATGCCCTACAAGTAGCTCTGTGGTGCCAGTCTCTGCCTGATCTGGTGACTCCGTGCTCCCTAGCAATGAAAGAAAATGACCAAGAGACCACCCTGGATAAAGGAAAACCATAAGCAAACTCGTGGCATCGTCGGCACGTCAGTACGTCCCAAGTTGCACCGCACTTCATAACTCTCACAATCCCCATCCCTGATGCAAGACCGTCTAAGGCATTAGGCATTACTTGTTTCACAGCTCCATTAATTCCCGCTTCTTGGCGGCGAGCATTTCTCTCATCTGATCCGCTTCTCTCTGTAGTGCTAATCGGCGCTCTGCCTTAACACGTTCGTTCTCAGTTTTGTCTCCATGCCCCTGTCCGTCGTTTCGTGACCCCGCACTCGGGGACACATCCTGGACGTGTGGGTTCAACAGTCCACCGGCAGATCGGAGTGGCGGCAGTGTATAATCGTCCATATCGGCGCTACCAGGTCGATTCATTCCACCGCTGCCTGTCGGGTTCAGAATAGATTTGATGGAAGAGATGCGTTTGGCACTATCCGAAACAAGATCAGCGTTACTGCCCACCTCCGTATCCGTTGTCGAAAATGAACGCTTTCTTCGCGGAGAAAGAAAAGAGGCAGGAGACATGGAAGACTGGCGCTCAGAAACGACAGTCATGGACGACATCGGCGGCAAGCGATTATCTTCATTCGCATGGCTGGATACGCTTTGTGAATATCTGCTCCGTTGGTGATATGCAGCGAGATCCGACGTTGACGGTAGCGGAGATACCTGACCGCTGGATCTCATTACTGCAGGCTGGGGTTCAATCGTCAAAGGGTGTGCCTCTGGTCGACGTCGGGTTCCGAGGTTGATTGATCCATCTTCGTTTTCAGTTCCTCGCTCTGGAGTTACCTCCACCTTATGTGCCTCCGGTGACTCGGCCATATCTTCCATTTCTTCATCCTGCGCGGCAGGTATGACTCGTTTCCGTCGCTTGATTGTTGGTTTCTTCATCGTCACTGGCCGATGTACGCCATGCAGCTTATAATAGAGACCTGCACTTGACATTAGCATTTTCATCATTGTAGTATGCCATAGCAAAGTATGCCTGAGATAGGCTCAAAACAACGATGACACTTACCACAAGCATTGCAGATGGTATGCCCGCTTTCATCCCTTCTCCATAAAGGTGTAATAGTAGTTCCACAATTTTGGCAGGCAATGACCATGGAATCTTGACTTTGTGTTTGTAGAGCATTTACATCAATAGGAACAGGTTCTGAATTGGATGAATCTGCTCGACTTCCGCAGCCCCCTTTGGATCTTTGCATCATGTTGAGCTGGGCAGTTTTCGACACCCTGTTGTTAAAGGCTGGGCATCCGTTGCATCCCTCGGCACCTCCAGTTCCATTACATCGTCCGCCACCAGGGCAGGTGCCGGTAGGCATTTGTTCAGCAGCAACATAAGAATTCACGTTCGAGGCTGACTTGGGTCCAGAAACTGTCGGCTTCGGCGGCGTAGAGCGGGATGATCCAGCGGCAACAACATTCGGTGGTTTTTTGAGACTTGTCGGCCGAGCTGTATTCCTAGCTTTTTGATAGAGGCCACATGCATTGCATATCGTAGCTCCTTGAGGAGATCTCCTCCACAGCGGTGTTCGGGTTGTCCCACAGTTGCTGCCCTGGTCAGTCGCATACCTCATATTACTTTTTATAGAAACAGCGACACGAACCTGCAGACCTGTCCACCGTGGCCGGGAAGGTTTCCTCCAGTCGATTTGACCTTTGCAGTTGATTCTGCATCGTTTAGGACGGGGCTGGGACCTCGCGACAACTTCCCGCCATCGTCGGACGGGCTGGTTCTCAAACCAGGGGAAGCACTGCCATCATGGCGCTGTCGCGCACGGCTATCATGGTCAGACGACTGTCGTTGTGAGGACGAGTCACGATGCTTGGAGGACATGGGCCTCGAAGGCAGCGCAGTCCTCATGGAGCCTGGTTCGCGCTGGTGGCCCAAAGGTGGCACCGTTGGTAGCTCACTCATCAGCATTCAGTTGCAGGTGCAGCAAAAAGCCAGACTCGAGTGGCAGTTGAGGTATCTCGGTGTGGTGTCGGGATTTGAAATGGCGACAGCACCCGCGGCGATCAGACAAGATGTGAGCGTCGGGGCTGATACTCGGCTTAGACAGGAATATCCCAATATGCAAATGCGCTGGTAGTCAATCGTCAGGTCAGCTGTCAGTAGTCGCTTGTTTGATTTTCAAATGATGAACGTAATGAAAATAACAGGAAGGGAGGGCGGGAAATGGGGGTCAGGTGTCGACTTGGCCCGGGCAAGATGCTTCGAGAAAAGAGGTCGTGAACGTGTGGTTGTCCTTGTTGAGGCGAATTGGGTGTGCCGAGTGCCGGCCGCGCCAAACGTGGTTGGCTGACGAACTAGGTGAGACGGCAGGATCAGGTGACTCGTGGCAACGCGAGAAGAAGTCGTCAGATTCCAGCCTGACTGTCGGCGACTCCAGGGGCAACCGCGGAGAAAGTATAATGAGGAAGGAGGCCAAGGTAAGCGCCAGCATGCACCTGCCACAGGCCCAAGTCCAGCATTCGTGACGCCGCAAGGATGGGAAGGAGGGGAGAGCATGTAAACGGGCAAGGGCAGGGGAGTCTGGAAGCCAGATGGCAGGCAATCAATCATTCAAAGGTACGAGGTGCAGAGCACTGACCTGGAAACCCTGCGCGGGCAAGGTGAGGACGGCGACAGACGGATAAAGGACTGAATGAATGAATGATGACGAGATAGGGGGGATAGCCCTCGGGGCGGTCTGCAAATAACCGATGCGTGTGTTTTGAGATGCATGCAACGCCAGGAGCCCTGCTTGCATAGCGAGTGGCCGGAGAAACGCAGAGGCGCCGAGACGCAGCCAAACGACAAATGAAGGCCGTTTGTGGGACGACAATCGTGGCAGGGCAGGCCAGATCAGCCCGCCAGCCAACCAAAACGTTGCGACGCACGAGAGCTCGCTCCAGATTGAGAGAGAATTGCTCCGGACAGTCGAAGTGTATTTTTTCCTTCTTGTCGTACAAGACGGGTCGGGGCTGCACACCCAGTTCAACTGTTGGCGCAGCTGTTGGGCGAGCGGACGGCTTGGGGCCAAGATGAAGATGCAAATCCACACTGGCGCACTTGCGCGCAAAAAACATGCGTCTTTCCGTCACCCCCGACCCTCCAGAGCGTCACTCGGCACCTCTGACAAGTTCTCAGGTTTGTGGGGACGCGATTGAGACGACGAGAAGAGCCTTTCACAGTGTGTTGATTATATTCGCCACTGCATCATTGGCCAGAGCCATAGAGTCCGTTGCGCAGGGACTGACAGCAAAATCGGACATCGGTACGGAGTAAGGCTAAGCCTAATTCAGTTGGGCAATTTGTGAGGCCTGTCATTGGCCGGCTGTGCCGTTCTTTTTGCCAGGCCATGTCTTGGCTTTTGGCTAGTCGTTACCTGGTCCGCAACTGCTACGTACGACGTAGTTAGTAAGTACCTGGGCTAGTACTCCGTAGTGGTCGGTACCAGGCACGGAGTACGGAGTACGGAGTACATAGTAGTAGTACACAACTTGTTGTTATCTTATCGATTCTATCAATCTCATCTCCCCGAGCCCAGCCAAAAATGCTGTCACACACACACGCACGCATGCCGCAACGCCCATCTCGCCTAGTGGCATCTTGTGGAACACTCACACTGCTGGCCGCCACTCACACCCTTGCTCTCCGTGCGAGACTGCTGATAAGACTCGAATCTGCTCCTGTGCCATCTGGAACTCAGTCGACGCACGTTTCACTCACTTCCGCTGAAATTGCAACAGCTCAGCACTCTGCTGACCATGGCTGCTGAAACCGGAGCCAGCACGGCTACTGAGATTCCCAAACGAGAACCAACTCCTCCCACGTCCCTCGGCTCAATCCCTCAGAAACGTGCTTTCGACGATGATCACAGCCCCGCCATTCCATCGCCTCTCAACCCAGACGCCAGTGTCTCCGAGCTAGCTCCCCACGACGACGCGTCACAGTTGAAGAGCTCCAAACCCGCGCGAGTGAAGAAGGATAGCTTCAAGAAGCGAGAGACCAAAGGAGGCGGCCGTGATAGCTCTCCCGCAACACCAGATCACAGATCTGTCAAGGAGCAGAACAATGTTGACTCTCCTCTACGATACAAACTGGCTCCGCCAAAACCATCCGACTTTGAGCTTCCCCGCGGCCCTGTCATGACACTGCACCACGAGGTAGATGGCTCGGGAGGACAGGTAGAATTCTTTGAGGCCTCTGACCAGTAAGGCTCCATCTGCCCAACCACAACTTTGGACCATGATTTAGGTTATACTAACTAGTGCTACCAGTGTCTTCAACAAAAAGAACTTTCGCTACACCCATTGCATTGCCGACCCTCTCTTCCCATCCACCCTATACTACCGACAGACCGAGCCCGAGCCGTTCGGACCGCGCTTGAGCTATGAAGATGCAGCCACGAGCGTGTTTTTCGACAAATCAGGACGAGGCGTTACGACCGACAAGGGTTTCCGAATGGCTCGTGCCAACGTCGCCGTCAGAGAAGGGCGATGGTACTGGGAATGCAAAATCACAAAGGGGGTGCGAGAAGCCGCCGAACCCGGCGCGAAACCCGAAGGGGGGAAACACGTTCGCATAGGCTGGGCCAGACGCGAGGCATCACTGGATGCGCCAGTCGGATTTGACGCATACAGCTACGGCATTCGCGATGTCGCAGGAGAAAAGGTCTTCATGTCGCGGCCAAAGGCCTTCTTCCCTGCAGGCGACGGCATCCGCGAGGGTGATGTCATCGGCCTCGAGATCCAGCTACCATCAGAAAACATGCATCGAAAGATCATGTCCGGCACGTACAACCCCGCCATCGACGCCGCCGACGAGGAGCCCCCTCCCGGCGCAGAGGCACCCAACATCGTTCGAGACCGGGTTCCCATCCGCTTCAAAGCTCACACGTACTTTGAGAAGATCGAGTACCACACCACTAGAGAATTAGAGGATCTGATGAACCCGTCACCAATCGGGTCCAGCTCCTCGTCTTCAGAAACCCCCAATCCCCTGCATACAAGCCCAGCCCTTCGGACCCTACCCAACTCGTGTATCAAAATATACAAGAACGGTCAGCTAATCGGAACCGCCTTTGAAAACCTCCTCGGCTTCCTGCCCCCGGCATCAAAACCCCAGCCGCAGGTCGGTGCCCGAGAAGGCCTCGACGACGGCATGCTCGGCTACTACCCGGCAGTGAGCATCTTTCGCGGCGGCGCAGCAGAGGTCAACTTTGGCCCGGACTTCTGGTACCCTCCGCCAGACTACGAGTCTCCTCCCCCTGGTGAGGAGGACACACCAGAGTTAAGGCGCAAAAGGCTGCGTGCTGTTAGTGAGCGATATAGAGAGCAGATTGCCGAGGACATAGTGTACGACGTCATTGATGAGGTGGACTTTTGGATGCAAGATGGCGGCGGCGCGACTGATACGACGGGAGTGCAGGAGAAGAGCGAGGCAGTGGCTGCTGCGCCTGGAAGGGAAGAAATCAAGGAATTGGTGCAAGATGATTGATGATTATGTTTTCACTTATTTTAATCCATGGAGTGAAGCAGGGACTATGACACGATACCCATTATATATACATATATATATTCAAAGTACTACCGTCCGTGCTGAGACAAAGCATCCCAAAAAGCATCGCCGCCACCCAATCATGAATTTTTCCCTTCGTTCAAGCGTTTCTTCATTCTAGTCTAGTCCATTACACACATCTCTACGCAATTGATCTCACGTGGACTGGTTGCTGCGCCTAGGAGCCTCCACCACCCCGTCGTCTTCATCTCGCAGCGTAGACACCCGCCCCGGCGGCTCGGGAGCCGGCAGCGCAGGATCGTCAGCCAGCTCCTCAATACGATCGCTCCCATCGACGGTGCGCTCACCTTCGAGGCGGACTTCCCGGCCCCGTTTGTGGCAGTACCACAGCACAAAGAGGAGAACTACCACACGTTAGCACCGGCACTTTAAAACGCGGCAAAAAAAAAAAAAAAAAAAAAAAAACCCCGCCAGACAGCCACAGTGCTAAAAAGGCGACGTTTCTATCTGTAGAGTGGAGAGGGGGGATACTCACGGGATAAAGCAACTCCCCACATGACATTCATGCCAATAAAGGCCGGCCACCTCGTCTTCAAGACCTCGACAATGGCGCGCAGCATGCCGACGATAGCGCCGGGCTTGGTGACGAGCTGCAGCAGGTTGGCGGGCACAAACATGCTCTTGGCGGCGCCCTTGAGCCCGCTGGAGCTGTCGGCCTTGATGCCCTGGCTCGCGGCGGCGGCGGCGAGCAGCTCCGGCCCCAGCGAGGAGGTGATCTTGTCCGGGAGCTGGGTGACGAGCTTCTTGAGCGAGTTGGGCAGCTTGTCGAAGCCCTTTGCCAGGGCGCCGTCCTTGTCGTCGACAATCTTCATGAGGTCGTCGTAGGCGGTGGGCACGCCGTTGACGAGGTCCTTGAAGACGTTGGTGAAGGACTGGAGGGCGGCGGACGAGTCGGTACTGATGACTTTGTTGTTCTTCACCGAGAGGTTGAGGCGGTCGAGGACTTTGGAGAGGTCCTTCTTCTCCTTTTCCTGCTCGGCGGGCGCGGTGGTGGGCAGCGGCTTGAGGGCGTCTTCCTTTGGCTTGGAGCGGGTGAAGAAGGCGGAGATGCGGTTCGGCTTCTTGGGCTCCTTGTCCTTGTCCTTGTTCCTGTCCTTGTCCGCGGACTTGTCGGGCGGCGGCGGTGGTGGTGCTTGTTGGCTTGTAGACGGCGTGGCATCGTCCGCGTCAGAGGGCCAGTCTAGGTCCCGCAGGTACAGGCGCGGCGGCAACGGCGGCGCGGGGACGTCATCGTTGGCGAGAAGTTCCTCGAGGAAGCTCTCGTCGTCGGGTCGAATGACTGCTTCGTGGCCGTCGTGGTGGCGGTGCCTGGTGTTGTGGTCATGGCCGTGTGCGTGTGCGTGTGCGTGTTTGTTGCTGTTGCTGCTCTCGGCGGCGCTGGTGTCGGTTCGTGTGGCAGCTTCGGCCTCCTGTCTGGCTTCTCCTTTCGCCGCCTTCTCGGCCTTGTGCTTCTTGACTTTTTTGTATGCGAAGTACTCCAGCATTGTGACTTGTTGGTGGCCGTTGATTCCCTGTATGCAGGCTGGTCTGTGAGATGCAGACTAGCTAGCTGCAGCTCTGAGGTGCGGCTGGTGGCTGTTTAAATGTTCCCTATTTTTTCGACAGAGGTTGAACCCCTTGCTTTTTGTTCTTTAGTGTGCGCCGTTCATTGGATGGGTTCTTTGTTTCGCGTTCCCTTGTTGCGCGCTTGGAAGCGCATCAAGTCGTCAACTGTTTGTTGGGCGGGCGGCCGCTTTTGCACCGCCACACCGTACATGATGATGTCACGAGCCGCCATCCAACCTGGAAGTTTTGTGCTCGGGTGGCCATCAAGTCATCTGAACTAATTGCCTCTGCACAAATGAGGTGGCCCCCTGTATGTGGACATGTACGGTTTCGTCATTCGACTCCAAGCAAGGGCGCTGAAACGCTGTCACAGCTCACACAGAGAGTCGGCTGGCTATGCTCTTGAAAAACACGTCCACTTCGCAGTATAATCCTATGCTCAATATGACGCCCCTCCGGCGAGAGCTCTCACCATGTATCCATGCGTACTACTACGTCGTTCAGTTACTACTCATACATACAATCAATACTGCCCGACTCCCCTTCCACTACATCACGTCTCATCATCCTCGTCCTCCTCGTCCTCCACGTCCTCCTCCATCCCCTCCTGCTGGATAACATCATCGGCCAACGTGCTCTTCCTCCCACCACTCCTTCTCCTCCCCCTCTGATATGCCTCCGTCATGGTCACTGCCCTCTCGCCAATGTACCGGTCTCCCGTCCACTCCTTCTGACACTTGGGACAATTCTTCGATCTCCGAGCCCGCCAAAATGCATCCTGGCACATGTCGTGTAGTCTCAAAGTGCAATTGGGCTGGGAACACCGCAGCCCGATGGTGACAATATCCTTGCACGCCTCACAGAACTTGATGCGCTGCCACTCATTTGCCTCAGCATCGGGGTCGTTATACGTCTCCACCAGCCAGGGACGTAGCTCAAGCAACGCTCGTGGAGTGACTGCGTAGAACCCGTCCTGGCTCTTCTCAAACCACCCTCCCTCGACGAGACTCCTCATGACGGCTTCCACCTCACTGTGTTTAAGGCCTCTGTCTGCTGCAGCTGATTGCGCCTGCGTTTCCGTCGAGTCCTCGGGGCTCAGGTGGCTCTGCCGACGGTTGGGTGGTCTGGCAAATTTGATGGCCTGCATTTCCGTAATGGCCAACACCTCCATCCGCGGCGTGTTGTACTTGTCAAACATGCCGTCAAGGACACGTTTGATAAAGGCTAGTTCTTCGGGGCTGTATGTCGTGGCTAGCTGTGTCTGGGGGTCGGACTGGGTGTTTACGAGTGCGTACACCCGGTGCTTGGTGACTTGGTGGGTGATGCTGCGCACTTCATAGTCAAAGAGGGAGGCGGCGTCAGAGGCTACGTCGATGTATCTCTTGAATTCATCTTCAGTGATTTGCTCTGGCCGGACAACTGATTCGTGGAACCCGGCGGCGTTGAAGATGGCAGCCAGGATTGGTTGTGCTTCTTCGAACGTGAGCGTGCTGTGAGCGAGGAGGGCTTGGAGGAATGCTCGGTGGCTGTTGTCGTAGTCTGGACCAAGGACTGACTCCATGGTGAGCCGGAGCCGCTTGAACTCGGTCGATATCTAATGGAAGAGCGCCTGTCTCTGTATCGAGCAGCTATCACTTGACGGTTGGGCGCGCCGAGTAACGCGTCTGACGAAACTGAAGTGGAACGCGAAGAGGCGTTAATTGATGTGGCGGTGCGTAGCAATCACACTTCCCGCGAGTAAACACTCCGCGAGTGACCACGTTTGATCAAATTAAATGAATGGAAGGAAATTCCGAGTTGGGCTCAATTCACACTTTGTTTTTTTCAAGCATTTTAGATTTTTAAACCCCATTGTTGGTAAAAAGCGGCTTGTTGGCCGTTTTCCATTGGCTCGTGTCTATGCTCCCATATCACATGCAACACCATCTACGTACACAGTTGAGAGATTAATGCATTTTGCTTCAAATTGTCCAACAACAAAAACAACAATACACAGACCCGGAAAACACAAAAACTATCGTCAAATATGGCAGCAAAATACACCTATATACGCAAAACCAAATCTTGCGCGACTAGACTAACATTCACAAACCAGGCCGCCTCCAGGGTAGCTGAATGCATGCTGACTCATCGCGCCCGAATACGAGCTATCCGACAGCGGCTCGTGCATCTATCAGTTCAAAGTTCATATTTCATCTCATCATAGTGCCCTCTCAGCGACATCGAATACCTGCAATCTCATTTCCGTCATCTAAAACGTTGCCAACTACATACAACTGGTTCATTTCACTATTCCATTTCGATCCTTTAGCAGCGTGAAGGGTAGCACATCTCACTCCACCCCCTGGAACCTGGCTTCCCTCCAACTCTCGCAAGTTGATGCATCAAAGCATACAAAGCAGTCACCAACCCACTGGAGGCGGGCCGAGGGTGTCGTTCTCGATATAAACGGGGCTCAAAGACACAAAGTCCTTAGCTTCCCAACCGTCGGAGACATACATCCAGACGGACAAGTCATCAAAGATACCCGCAGGCCGCAAAGCTACGGCCATGGCAGCAGACACTAAAGACTTTGACGTCGTCCGCGTCGCTCGCAGCGACGGCACAGACACAGGCCCGGGGTACTGGCCCTCTATGAATACGGCCCCCAAAAAGACTGGCAAGGATGCAGCGGCGGCGACAGTTGAAAAGACGCCCCGTGTGAAGCCACAGATGACACGGCTGGCAGAAGACGATCCCCGGTTCATCGAGTGGCGGATAAAGCTAGGAATCCTACTCAAGCAGGAACTCGCACCAAATCCCGACGGTGCGCAATACCTCCCCCGCTCTTTACACTCGGACAAGGAAAGGCTAACTAAAGACGTAGAAGGAAACCCGTGGTACGTACAGTTTCCTAGGGGATACTGGCTGTATGAAAAGTCCAAACATCTCTGGGTGTCAGGTTATCCCATCAAAACCAAGCTCTACAAGAGCCCGCAGGAATTCGGTGTCCACCTCATCTGGCTGCTCTCTGCGTCCAGAGACTACAAGGACTGCTGCTGCGTACACTGCAATCTCCCCAATCCTGCGAAGCTCGCGGCGTCGGTGGAAGACACTCTCATCATCACACCCAGTGAGACGCCCATCCCCGCATCAGCAGCTACTGCGTCTGGCACCGGAGTCAAGTCCTTGTCGAATACACCAATGCCGGCTCCTGTCCCGGCTGCCACGCACAGAGTCACGCCTGTTCCGTTGCCTGCTATCCCAGGACAGCCGAAGCAGACTCCTCCCACCATGTCCGCAACACCAGCTACCAAACCGCCAACTCCAAAATCTACACCAACCAAGCCCACGAGTCAGTTAATAGTAGCTGCGCCCTCTCGATCAAACTCCAATACACCACAGCCAACACCGCAACAACCACAACAATCTGTACCGAAGCCAACACCACCACCATCACAACAACCACCCCCTCAACCCCCTCAACCCCCTCAACCCGTCCGCTGGTCCCTCCAAGGCTCGCTCCTCTTCCGCGCCGGCGAACTAACATGGTACCAAAACGGCAACACCTGGCGTCTCGGCATCGTCGCCTCACCCAGTCCCAACCCATCTTCCCCAACTCACACCATGCTGCCTCTCGGCCACGCCCTGGTCCCCCAACAACCCGTCACAAAACCCCAGTCCGACCTCCGCCCCTTCCACGCCTTCTCCGTCCCGCCCGTCGCCGTCCCAGAGCTCAAGGACAAGCCATTCGACCAGGTTCCCTGGGACGCCCTCTTCCACTCGTCGGCAAACGAGCCCCCCAAGCGAGAACTCCTCGCCCTCGACGCCTCCAAACTAGCCGCCTCCCGCATCGACGCTTCCTATTCCCTCTGGTGTCCCCTCTCCGAAGACCCCAACGCCGACACCTTCCCCTACTACGGCTGCTTCTTCGGCGCCGAACGAATCGAAATCGGCGACTGCCTGCGCATCAAGCCCGTTCCGTCGGAGCCCTCCTTGGGCGACGCGTCCATAATGGGCCTCCGGTACATATTCACCAAAAAGGAATACCCGGGCGCCGTCTTCTTCCGCGGAAACGTGTACCGGCTGGCCAAACCCGACTCGCCCCCGTCAAGCATCATGCCGGAGGACCAGCTCCCCATTGCCTTGAGGGACGAGACGTCCTGGCGTAATCAGCTTAACCCCGCCAAGCCACGGCGCTGGGTGCTGGTAAAGGAGAACCTCACGCTAAACGAGCAGTTCGTCAAGGGACGGTTCTACCCTTCTCATCGACTGATGCCCATTTTGAACCCTGCGGCCTTCAATGCGGCCCTTGCGCGGGGGCAGGTGGATGAACAGGTGCCGTACTTGAATAACCGTATGGACGGAGGCGTCGGTGGTTATATAGGCAGAAAGGCGAATAGGATAGACAGTCTGGGCGCTTCTGTGCCCCAGGGATCTACCATATCGCTGGAGCCTCTTATCAAGGAAGATGGGCTACAGGTGCAAGGGTAGGGCCCCGAAGACTTGTTTTGGGTAGGTAGTCGTTGGCCGCAATGTGTCAGCAGGCTGGCTGGTATTGGAGTTTACCGTCAAAGGTGTGGCTGCAGATATCGATCTGACTTGGTGTTAATTTATATACGGAGAATATACTAATATAAAAACGGTAGATCACTCCTTGCTCATGCTTTTTTATGTACCCAAACCCCACCCATATCGCACCAAGACTTGCGGAAAAATAGAGTAACCTGCTCCGTGCCCGTTTCCCGCGTCTAAAAATTCGGCACAATTGCCATGGGATAATTCTCCTAGAGCCATTGAAATACAGTATGGATAAAACGAAGTGCCGATGACTCCTAGGGTAGTGTGCTCCAAGAAATCCATATGAATCCTTGTCAAAGCCACGTCAGATGCCCTGCATTAGGGGGAAGAAAAATGAACCAAGAAAGAAAAGAGAAGTTAAGTGTCGTCATCAAGGTCGTTGCTGTCGTTTCGAACGTGATAATAGACAAAGACTATTCGCTAGACTGCTCGTCGGGAGTGTCGTGTCAAGGATACATCCTACATAGTGCTGCAGCCTGCATAGTAGCCAAATTACCATGTCAGATTGAGTCCTTTGCTCTTAGTCTATCCAATCTAGCCTGTAGTCTGCTGAGAACCTCCAGGTCGGGAGCAGGCTGCACTTTTCGTGGCAAGGCTCGAGGCGACTCGACAGATTTTTCCAAGCCGCACATTATGCAAGGAGTACCGTCCTCGGCACCAGCAGGATATACCACCTCGCAAGAATTGCACTCGAATCGTGCATCAGAATCTGGTCCAAACGCATCACCGGGATAGCCGAATGGGTACTTGTCCTTTTTGGGCCTTTTGCAAGAGTATTAGCAAGTGTGCGTATTTCAACAGGCACGAGGTGGTAGGACTTACGGATCCCGTGGGCAATCAGTACAACGAACATGGTTGCAGTTCTCACACTTTCTACTACCAGTAGCAAATAACGTCTGGCATTCATGGCACGTCCTCCTAACACGCTGTCGAGGTTTTCTGTGGACCAAATCCTGCCCTCCAGTCTTGCTTGGCCGTTTTAATTCTATTCGCTCGTCACCCCAGAAATAGTCGGGCATGATTGGAGGATTTTCCTTGTTGGTCTTGAGCTCCTCCCCCAACTGCGCAAGATCGGCCAGACACCCCTCAGCTTCCTTGGGCGGATGGCGGGGACATTTCTCGCATCGAACGTGCTGACACATCGTGCACTCATTCCCAGTTGTAAAGGTCGTGTTGCACCGGTGGCAAGTGCGCCGTACGCGCATCCGGATAGGTTTGTCTACTCGCAGAACCGTTTCGTTTGGAGAGTGGCTTAATAAATCGGATGATTCAATGACCAGTCCAAACTTTTCACCCATTTTCTTCGCACGCTCCTCCAGAATTTTCAGTTTGGGTACCGTGGAGGCAGACGTTGATCCTTGGCTCGCATCTGATCGGATGTCGTCCCGTGGAGAAGAAGGTGTCTGTGAGCTCGGGGCGGTAGCTTCTCGTTTGTCAGACTTAAATGCGTTCTTAACTTTGGCAATAACTCTCCCAACTCCCTTGCCATCCAAATCCTGCCCCGGCGTTGAAGTCGTACCTGTAACGGGTTGACTCATTGCCAGCAAGAAGCAGGCGGTGGGAGTGCTGTCGCCGGCCAGAACAGTTGGGTTGCTCGGTTTCTAGCTTGAATCATGCAATGAGCTTGAGAGAGCTGAAGACCCGTTCAAAAATTAGGTAACAAAGGCAAAGATAAAAATGTTGTACTTCGGGCCTGACAGTCTCTGGGTTCCGGATGTCAATTTTTGGCATAAAGTTGGGCGTGTGAACCAAACGTAACCGTCGGCTTCTGTATAGTTGTGAAACTCTGAAGGGTCAAGACACAGCGCTCCCGAGTTTCCTCTCTTTTCCGCTTTCACAGGCGCAAGAGGTCAAGGTACCAGATGGGCAGCAGAAGAAAGTGCTTGGAAAGGGACTCGAAGGATTAGAGCAGGAAAGCAAGAGGGAGACAAAAAAGGACGAAAATGAAGCGTAAACTGAGGAGAGCGGCATGTGGAGTGACGATGGCGACCCTGGGACCGAAAATCCCACCACAACGGAACGGACGAGGCGGCAGCTAGTTAGCGCGAAAATTGTCTCCAGTCGATAAACTGGACGTGTGCTCCTGGCAAACAAACGCAACCACACAGACTAGAGAACTCTGCAGCTGCAGGAGCTGCATCTATTGCGCCGGTACTATGCATAAAGTGGCAATAGGCGCTGTGGTTGTGGTCCGTGGTGTGGAGTCGCATCATGAGCCCATCGAGCAGGGCGATACCGATGAGCGGGTTCCAGTGGGTTGGCGACCCAGCCTGCTGGCTGACCGGCTGCGTGGCTTTCTTTTTGGTTGCTGGTCGTTTGATGACGGGCGGCAGCGCCAGGGTCACCGAATGGTGGTGGGGAGGAAGAGAGAAAGCGGACCTCAATCTACCTGGATAGAAGTCTGGCGTCCCAAGGCCAACGCTAAATCCCAAGCCAAGAAGACGCAGGCCAGCCGCGAGACGCCTTGGCCTTTCCAGGAATGAAGAGACCGGCGGTTCACGGCTGACTTGTCTGATGGCGACGGCATACGACACCATCCCGTCTGGCAGCCAGCGCTGTTACTAGAAGCGGCAGGGCCAAGCGTCTCGTCCAGCTGTGCCCTTCTGCGTCGGAGGAATGCTCGGAACATTTACGCCATCAACGTCGTGCTTCATCTCACTCTCATCGCGGCCGCCCTGGAAGAGCAGGGATGGACCCAACCAGAGCATCGGAGACGGACGCTGTCCGGGTGTGTGGGCCAGCCGTCTAGCTACTCCGTATGTACAATAGCTTGTCTTCGGGCCCGAGATTCTGGGATTCGATGTCTCGTGCCATTGGTACCGCTGGGACGGAGCTACTACTGCAGTACTCTCTGCACGGGCAGGCAAGTCTTTGCTGGGCCTTTGGCAGTTGTCCGAGAGGGATGTGCTGGCAAGCCCACCAGGATCCATCAGGCCACCAGCCAAACGCCCCATCTCTCATCTATTCGTTCAAGTAGCATCAATGTAGCCGGGTAGATGGAGGGTGCTGCTTTCTTATCGTTGGTGGAGGGGGAGCAACCGACAGTCTGGTGCCAATAGCCCTTGCAGTCTCAGCCCGCAGTGGTGCATTGTCAGGATGCCGCAATTCATCCGGTACATGGCCAACTGTTGTTGCTTCTGGACAGCCGAGACAAGAAGAGAGATGAGGGACGGGCATCGATGCAGGGGGTTGGTCACGAACGACGCATGGTCTGCTCAACACATGGTGACTTGTGAAGCGACTCGAAGCTGTAGAGACATCTGCTGTACTGTAAGGAAGTCGCACAGTATGGGGGGCTAGCGACAGTACCGTGTTGTATGCATTGTATGTTTTTTGCGTCATATGCATGGAATACGGGATTCGTGATTGGAATGCATGATAAATGTGCTCAACGGTGAGAGGCGTCAAACACCACATGTCTGGTCCGAAGGAAGGAGAACCCGAGCTTCCAGTAAATATTCTACGGAGCACCTTCCGCAGATGCTGTGTCGCGAGGTACCTTAGGTATGTATACCGTACTTAAAAAACGCAATTCCGTACCACAGCCTACGGTCCGCCTTTGTGCGTTACTTGCCGGGTACTCCACACTCCAGTAACGCTATCAATTACTACTTGGCTGCTAAAACCCAGGAGTCTGTGTGGTATCCTGCTACAGATGCGGAAGGAGCCATCTAGAGTCGGAGCTTGTTGCCTGCTCTTTTGCATCATTAATTTCCTCGACACCTCACCACATCAAACACTGGATGCAATCACTTCTCGCTTCGCTTCCTGTCTAGTCAACTTGAGATCAGACGGCCCGCATGCGTCCACCTGCCTCGGCTGTCATGTCCCTCAGCCGACACTAATAAAGCCTGTGTTTCACTACTCCGGACCTTCTCAAATTTCATCAACTTGCCTCGTGCTTCAAAACCTTAGACGCTCAAGCCGCCTTCTGGTCCATGATTTTGCTCGCTCCAGGTGGTTGCCGACTCGAGGGACAAGCTTTGCAAACGAAATGGTCTCTATTAGCAGGGCTAACGGAACCAAAGCCGCCTTCAATGCATCGTTATTGAAGTATGGATTACGGGGTGCTCCGTACAGCTTGCCATATCCCGCATCAGTGAGGACCGAACGACCGAGCGCCAGATCGCGCACAATTACTCCGTGCTCCGTATTCTGTATTCGTACCGAGTACGGAGTACGGAGCAGTATTTCAGGGTCGGGGATAAGGGGGTCCTGGGCAGACTCCACGTTGACAAGCTGGGGTGTCTGATGTCTCAACGACTGAAATAGCTCCCGACCACCACGCGGTGCTGGGTGCCAAAATCTGATATATCAATTCTCACCAACAGGGTCCTACATTTGTCCTGCACCACAGCCTTTGGGCATGTGGTCCCATTGCCTCAATTGCATTGCCACGGTTGTGCATTAATACGGCGTGACTTTCACAACCAGCTTCAAAAGGCCCGAACTGCTTGTCGGAATTGCGGGCGTGCCTCTCGAAATGGGGAAACCTTGACAATCAGTGAGGCTTCTTTAGTGCATGGTGCTTTAATGACAAGTGGGCTTTGCGACTTTGTACTGGACTGCCAGGACTTGTCTTGCAGCAATATCTATTCCACCTAGGCCAATGCTTGGTGATGGTTTCAACCACTTTTATGGAAGATGCAGAATGCCACATTCCTAGTAGTGGCCCTTGACGTTTGGTTCGATGACTGCCTTGTTGGTAGACGAATTTCTCCTGGATGCCATTGCCAATGAGAACTTATTACCACCCATACAACCTACTCAGCGGGTGGCGCTGACGTACCGCGCTCTCGGCAATTTGCCTCAATAGTGGCAGGTGATTCGTCCAAGCCAAAATCTGGCGTTTTTTGCCGTCCTCGCTGGTATATACGTAGATGGACCACGACTTTGCTGCTGGTCCACAAGGTGTTCATCAAATCCTCTCACGATGCTTCCGCCTGCCCCGTCCCTCCTTGAGCCGTCAGGCTTTCGGGGCGTGTCCTTGCAAGGCTCAAGGTTATGCACAAACACATTTTCCAACTGAAGAAGGGCTAAATGCCCCGGTATCATTGGTTTGAGCAGCGCCTGCAAGTCGGCATCAAGAAAAGTCATGAGCTGCCGAGTCAAAGGTCCGTGGAGGCATGCATGTCAGTAGATTGCTGCGCCAAGTTATGAGATGCGACTGGGATGGGCCACAATCGACATATCATTGTCCAGTGAACCAAGGCTTCCAAACATGGATAGCACAGACTTGGACGAATCCTGCCACTTCAGCCTTGATGCTTTGATCATAACCCGCCCTTGACAAGTTCTGGCTTTGAATTCCGGAGAGCGCGTAGTGTTAAATCATAGGCAAACGGGCGTCCTCGGACACCGGACGTGAGTAGCTTTCTTCTCGTCTGGACACAGCCGATGTTCCCATTGCCATGGTAGACTTGTGCCTGGTGCGGACATTATTTGCCTTGTGTTTTCCCTTTGTTGGCTCTGGGAAGCTGCCCTTGGCTCCCAACTCCGCATACATTATCCTCGTTCGTCAGTAACGCACAGGCAAGCCAATGCAACCCACCCACTGAGCAACATGCATGATCCAGGGAACAGGGAGGGACTTTCCAGGTTTCTGAACAGACGAAAGTGAGTCCAGCGACGGCACAGTGAAGAACAGGTCCCACCAACTGGTGAATATGTCGTCACCGCGCTGCTGTTGTGGCCTAGTCACGATCCTGACCAGAAAGTCGGAACGCCAGTCTACTCCGGAGGCTCACGCACGAGGTCAGAGGCAGCATTTGCAGAGCAGAGAAGGTCTATCTGACAAGACTGCGGAAACTCAGTCTTTATGACTTCCGCATTACAACCCTTGATCCATGGCTCTTTTTTTGAGAGTGCTGCGTAAGTTCATTCCTATCGGGGCACAAGTACGAGTTCCCTCCATTTGTCTCTCGTTAAACAGTCAATCTACACACCTTCTGCCCGGTTGCATCTTGTGAGATGAAGAATAATTAACTTGCAGCCTACTCAAGAGAACCCAGGCGCCAATACACTACGGGGCTTTTACTATGCGATAACACGAAAGCTCATGGGTTGGGGTCCAGGCAGCTGGCCAAGTGGTCAGTGGACAGGCCAGCCCGAAAATGGGATCCAGTTCCCAAGTCCAAACCATGCGGTTCTCGTCCAAGACATTAGACATTTGCCCGGGTCTGGAGCTACAGATAGACGACACGCCCTGCACTCTCCCTCGCACCGCCCGAAGAGCCACGTTCTTGATGTCTAACTTGCTCGAGCGTCAGTGCTGAAAGCTTGACCGGTGTGTTCCGTTGCTGCGGACTTGCTGGCAAAGTAACACAGGTGGCTGAAGCTCGGCAAAGAGATGCGAATATCTTCGGTATGGTATCGCGATGATGGATTGGTATTTCCGGAATAACTTCATGATACCGGGGAACTGGGCTTCGTGGATCAATGGTTTTTTGCCACAACCTGAGGATGATTCACCGAGACTATGATAATTGGTAGCTGGTGATGAAAACAGAAAAAAAAAAAGAAAAAAGAAAAAAGAAAG